TCGTCGGCGAAAAGCCCACGAACTGCTGCTTGTTATGCCGCTCGAGGTAATGCTCCCTGCGTCCCTCAGAGGTCGTGGCTGCAATATCGCGCCGAGTGAGAATCCACTCGCCACCGTGGGTTCCCTTGTCGGATTTGTGGGTCGGTAGCGCTGGCGTAGCGGCCGGCTTCCAGCCGTCCATGGCGACCTTCCCGATATGGTCATGGATGCCGTTCGTGTCCACGTGGGTCCTGGCCAGGGCGACGAGGTGGTACTGGGCCTTCATCTCCTCCCTGTCGTTACCCCGAAGGGAGTGGTGGTGCTGCCGCCGCTCGTGCGGGCTGGGCACGTCCTTTCCCCTTCCCCTTGGCGGCCTGGGCCACCTGCTTGGCCCACTCGGCGGCCGCGAAGAGGTGAACGGCTGCCCTTCGATGTTGGTCGGAGGGTTCGGCGTCGGCTGGGGCGTGATGCGCATCAAGCTCTTGTGGCACATAGGTACGGCAGGCGATGCAGGCGACTGGCCGACGGTAGCTTGTCCTCCGTGCTCGGCGGGAGGCTGGTGAGTGCCTTGTGCCCCTGCAGGTGGGGCGTCCATGGGAGCTGGCTGGGGATCGGTCGCCTCCGTGCTCGCCTGATTGCGCTTGGCGGCATTTGTGCTCGACTCCTTAGTTTGTCGTAGAACCTCTCGGATGTGATCCTGTCCATCGTTGAGGGCTTGAACTCGCTGGTCGAAAGCCGCCTTCCACTTCTCCATCTGGTTCTTGATGGCGTCGTCGTAGACGCTGAGGTCGTCCCACACCGCGCCGTCGATCTTAAAGGTGTCCTTGGGGCCCATGGCGGTGGCCCCTCGTGCGGGAACTCCTGCGAGTTTTGCGCTGTGTTTTGCCTGAGCCTTGGCGCAGGCGTTCTGCACTTGGACGAGGTCAAGTGCGGTTCCTGCCAGGCCATGGCATCGTGGTGCCATTGCTTAGCCTCTTCGTCGTCGTCGACCGCCTGCTGGAACTTCTTCTCCCTGTCGGTGAAGACGGAGAGCGCTGACTGGAGCGCCTGCTCGGCTAAGCGGGTTGGCGGCTGCTTCCCTGGTTGGTGGAGGGCGTCCTTGATGTTGTCGACGAGTTCGGCGTGCTTCGCGTCAATGAGGAGGGGCTTGATCGCCTCGAAAAAGGTGTCCTTGCTTGGGACGGTGGGCGGCAATATGTTCTTCCACGGCGGTGGCCTACCATTTCCTGCCCAAGCTCCTGTCGGTTGACGGAGCTCCGCTGGTGATGGGGCCAAGGCCTTGCCGCAGTTGAAGCACCCGGACTTCCCCTTCCACTTCCATCTGTAGCGGCACAGCTTGCAGATGGTGTACTGGTAGTGGTCGTGGTACTGGGGATGCACACGCCCATGTGCACCGCGCGAGCCATCTGCGCGTCCAGCCGGTTTTTGGCTGCGGTCGCTGGCGGCAGCAGCACCTCCATCTGCTGCTGCGGCTCCGCCACGGGTGGCGGCTATCGTTGGGCAGCGTCGTTGGGTGCCCTCCCAAGGGCCGCGCAAGAGGGATATAGACTGGGCGGCAGCTCGCCCGAGAGTGCGGCTACAGATATGAATATATCACAAGCTGTGGGAGTTTACCCCAGACAGGCAGTGGAAAGAGCACCATTTTGGCCTTGAACCGAAATGCCTTGAGCCAGAATGGCAACGGAGAAAGGAGGACGAGAAAGGGGACGAGGAGGAGGAGGTGGAGGAGGAGGACGAAGAGGAGGAGGTGGAGAAAAAGGTGGAGGAGGAGCAGGAGGAGGAGGAGGAGAAGGAGGAGGAGGTGGAGAAGGAGGGGGAGAAGGAGGAGGAGGAGGAGGACCCCCTCCCACTCCAACTTATGGTGGTGCTGGTGGAAAACAGGCCCATCACGAGTTACGACCCGAAAGCCACTAGGCGTCGGGCGGGCCCAAAGCGGTTGTCGGGGATGGACATCACCCCCCTTGCGTAAAGCGTGGTTTAGTGAGAACGACCTCGGGCCCGAACCTGCCGAAAACGAATCATTCACTAATCGACGTGTCAGGGTGGGGTTTTTTGTCCACCCCCGAGGATTTGGGACTCGGGTCGGTCTCCGAGGACGCCTCGGGTGACCGTGGCCTCCGGGGTCCCAGAGCCGTGCGGCGACGGACCGCGCGGGGAGGTTAAATGGGATTCCGCGGCCACCGCGCGAGGAGGAGGAGGAGGAGGAGGAGGAGGAGGAAGAGGAGGAGGAGGAGGAGGAGGAGGAGGAGGAGGAGGAGGAAGAGGAGAAGGAGGAGGCGGAGGAGGAGGAAGAGGAGGAGGAGGAGGAGGAGGATCCGTCATCACACGATTTTGGGGCCCCCGAGCGACACTCAGAGGTCTACGCGGACTCTTCGGGGATCGGCGCTGGAACCCGAGGCGCCGCCCAAGGAGAGGGTTCCAACGCCGCTCCAAACCGTCCGCGCGGACCTCCGGAAGGTTAGTTTCATGCACTTGCTTTCTCTTCGAGACCTCCAGATCTGCGAGAGAATGATCGTGGTGGCCCGTCCCTCGACGCTCGTTCGGCCTTGCAGAGGGCGCTTCTTCCCGGCCGAGAAGCTGCGTCCTGAGAACGACGAAGGATGGAAAAGCCAGCCCCGGGCAAGCGGGCGACATCCAGAAGGGGCCCTCCACATCGCATAACAAAACAAGCGGCGCTTTCCCGTGGCCAACGCCGCATCCGCAAGTGGCCCCGACTCTTCCCCGGAGCCCGCGGAGGGCCCCCCCCCCCCGCAGGCCGACAAACGGGCCCACAGTCGACCAGGCCAGTAAGGATGCGCGGTGAGGACACAAGGGGCCTCGGAGCCCCATATTTGAAGGGGCCCTGGGACACACAAATAAATACACACAAATAAAATGGTTCCCCAGATTTTCCCATACTTTCTGGGTTTCTGTCTTCCCCCCCACTGCCCATATTTTCTTATATTTTGTGTGGAGTCGACGATGAATTGTGTCTGTGTGTTTTTTCCCCGCCTGAATGTTGACATTTCCCGTGCGAAGCGCAGCAGAATGCCGAAGGATGCCGAATACCGAAGGCGCAAGGATGCAAGGGCAGCCTCGGAAAGCTGCCCCAGCCTTCCTGTCATGGTTGACTGTAACACTGACGTGCTGCTTTTTCGACACGCTGGAGGTCTGCGCCGACGGGGATCGGCGGCGAGCGAACGGGGGGGGGGAGTGAGAAGGAGAAGGCCTTCTGAGGGTTCGGAAGTCCCCCGGCCTCCTGGGAAGTTTTTGCGTAAGCCTTCCCCGAAGACGGAATCAACTGCTCAGGAGGCGCGAGGGCTTCTGAGAAGCCCCGCGGCCTTCTGAGAAGAAGTTCTCCTCCTCAGCTCCCCCCCCCTCCAGAGCCTCTTTTTGGGGTGGAGGGCCCAGGCACCTCGAACATCAATGCGTCTTGTGATCCGCTTTTTGCAGGTCCGTGCCTCGAGAAGCCATCGAAACGGCACTTCAGATTTCACCCCCAAAAAAAATGCTCGGCCCTCGCCCGCCGCCGACGGTCGGGCCGGGCGAAAAAGGGGGATAACAAAGGGGGGGGTTCAGAATCAGCTCACGCAGCTGATTTTCCCGGCGCCTCCCGGCGCCGGAGGCGCCCATGTTCGAGGAAGGGGCCCCTCGGGGGGCCGAAACCAGCTGCATGCAGCAGATTTCGTAACCCCCCCTTTCCCAATCCCCCCCTTTCGTCCGACCCGAGACGGGGAGGGCACGGACACGGTTTGGACGCCCGAAATGGGTACGGAAAGAATGGGTACAATGCCCAACAACAACTGTTGCCCCAAACCAACAGCGGCCGCTGTTGGGCAGGCGGCCCTCTGTCTCGAATGGACGCCGCGGCGGCGTGGACAGCGAGTCCTGTTCAGAATGAACATGATCCGCTGCTGGGCATTGTGCCCATTCTTTCCGTGCCCATTTCGTTCGTTCGGTCCGGCCGGGCGAAAGGGGGGGATAGCAAAGGGGGGGTTTGAGAATCAGATCACGCAGCTGATTTTCCCGGCGCCTCCCGAAGCCGGAGGCGCCCATGTATCGAGGAACGGGTCCCTCGGGGGGGCCGGAACCAGCTGCATGCAGCAGATTTCGTAACCCCTTTCCCAATACCCCCCTTTCGTCCGACCCGAGACGGGGAGGGCACGCGGCGGCGTGGACAGCGAGTCCTGTTCAGAATGAACAAGATCCGCTGTTGGGCATTGTACCCATTCTTTCCGTGCCCGTTTCGTTCGTGCAGAGACGAACGAGGGCAGGAGGAAAAGGAGGAGGAGGAGGTGGAGGAGGAGGAGGTGCCGGAGGAGGAGGAGGAGGAGGAGGAGAGAAGGATGGATGGAGGATGGAGGAGGAGGGGAGGAGGGAGGAGGAGGAGGAGGAGGAGGAGGAGGAGGAGGAGGAGGAGGGAGGAGGAGGGAGGAGGAGATGAGGAGGAGGAGGAGGAGGAGGAGGAGGAGGCGGAGGAGCATGAGGAGAGGAGGAGGAGGAGGAGGAGGAGGAGGGGAGGAGGAGGAGGAGGAGGAGGAGGAGGAGGAGGAGGAGGAGGAGGAGGAGGAGGAGGAGGGAGGGAGGAGGAGGAGGAGGAGGAGGAGGAGGAGGAGCAGAGGAGCAGGAGGAGCAGGAGCAGGAGGGCAGGAGCAGGAGGAGGAGGAGGGAGGAGGGAGGAGGGAGGAGGGAGGAGGGAGAGGGAGGAGGAGGAGGAGGAGGAGGAGGAGGAGGAGGAGGAGGAGGAGGAGGGGAGGAGGAGAGGAGGAGAGGAGGAGGAGGAGGAGGAGGAGGAGGAGGAGGAGGGAGGAGGAGGAGGAGGAGGAGGAGGAGGAGGAGGAGGAGGAGGAGGGAGGAGGAGGAGGAGCAGGAGAGCAGGAGAGCAGGAGCAGGAGGAGAGGAGCAGGAGGAGGGAGGAGGGAGGAGGAGGGAGGAGGGAGGAGGGAGGAGGAGGAGGAGGAGGAGGCGGAGGAGGAGGAGGAGGAGGAGGAGGAGGAGAGGAGGAGGAGGAGGAGGAGGAGGAGGAGGAGGAGCAGGAGCACGCGGGGTCGTGCCCCCAGCCGCTCGCGGCCGCCGCGGCCCGCGGCGCGGCGCCCGCCCACGGCAGGCCCAGGGCCCAGCACTGCAGGGCCGCGAGGCGGAGCGCAGAGAGCGGCCCGGCCATGCGGTCGGAGGGCTGCGGCGTACTCCAAATCCCTTATTAAGCGTCCCCCGGGTCCGGTTTTTTTTAAGGCGCTTTATTAGGGGGGTCCCATTTAGTAGGGCGCTTTCTTTGGATTGGAACTTAGGGGGTCCAATTTAGTAAGGCGCCCCGTCGAAGAGGGGGGTCCGGAATATTGGGTCGCATTTGGAGGGGGGTCCGGTTCTTTAGGGGGGGGCGATTAATAAGGGATTTGGAGTACTTCGCGCGCGGCGCGGGCGAGGAGAGACGGCACGCATCGGCGGTGGACAAGCCTCCTTTTAGTACCAGGAGGCCGAACTCAATGGAGGCTGGCATCAGAATGAACAAGAGGATCGGAGACCATCTAGAATGAGGTTTCGCACAGGGCAGCGACGAGATCGAAGATTTTCAATTTTGATTTCAGGCCTGGCCCAGCCCGGCCCACTGGTCATGCGGTCGGAGGGCTGCGGCGTACTCCGTGGGTGGCGCGGGCGAGGAGAGACAGGGGAGTAGGGGGAGGGGGGGCGTCTTGGAAGGAAGCTGCTTCTGAGAAGGCGCCAGCCCTGCATCTACACACAAGGCCCGCCCCTTTGTTGAGAAGCAGGGGGCTTCTCACCCTGCTAAGAAGCAGGGTGCTTCTGAGAAGCCTTTCCCCCTCCCCCTGCCTCCCTCTGCGCGTGGCCGACACTCGGCGGTGGACAAACCTCCTTTTAGTAAACCACCCTTTCGTGAAAACAACTCGGGACAGAAACCGACGGGCCCAGACCCGCAAAAGTGACGGCCGCGACGCCGGCCAAATCGCCAGTCGACGCGTTAGGGTAGGAGGTCTGTCACCCTCCGCACGTATGTTAAAGGACGCGCGGTGAGGATGCCATGCCAGCCCCTTGGACGACCCTGGGGCAATCCGTCGCGAGCCAAAGTTGTGAGAGGGGCCCAGGGAGTCACACACACAGAAATGGTCACCAAGCCTCGGAGTCACAGTTTGTTTCAACATTTTCTGGATCTTCGAGTTCCCCTTACACTGCCCATATCTTCCTGGGAATCGAAGTGTATATGTCTCTGCCTATTGTTCTCTGGAGGATTGGCCAAGGATGGGGCGAAGAGGCAACGGTGTTAAGGGTACCTTTGCGGGTGTCATGTGTTCGTCCTTGCCATGCGCGTCGACAGTAGTAGCTTGAGGGCAAGGAGCTTTGAATCTGGAGCAACAAACTGCTGACAAATTGCTGCGCTTCTTGGTCCCTCCTAACTCCTCCCTCCTCAGTCCATCCGTCCTCCTCCTCCCTCCTCGAAGGTCGGACGAAAAGGAAGGGTAGTGAAAGGGGAGTTTTTAGCGAATCACTTCACGTAGATGCCTCCTGGCGCTGAAGAAGGCATTTCTGTATCGAGGACAGCGCCCGGCGCTTGGGGCGAAAAACCAGCTGCACGCAACAACTTTCGCGACCTCCCCTTCCAAGTCCCCATGATCCGTCCCCAGAGCTCACATGCAGCAGCTTTTCACCACGGGGCCACCGGAAACGCCCAGACTCTCCTCCAAGGCGGACGTGAAAGAGGAGACACAGGTATCGGGCGTGTCGACGTTGTCGACGCTTGGCCCCCTGATCCTCTCGAGCCCTTCACCAGGGCTGGCTCACTTCCCGCCCCCAGTACTCTCTTGAAGACCGAGGGCCTGAGGCGGGGCCCCGGAAGCCAAACATGGCGGCAAACCAGCCGCCTCAAGTTTGCCGAGGCACCGAACGTCTTTTCGGGAGGGGATGAACTCTGAAATCCGACGTCGTGAAAGAAACATAACGCTGCGCCAGCAATCGGAACCTGAGCATCGACCCCATTTCGGTGCAGAACCCCTCAAGCACGGTCGGTCCGAGATTGGTACACCCGAAGTGGGTATGGAACAATATGGCACGTCTGAACAGCCAAACACGTTTTCCAACACCGACGGCGGTTGCGCTGTTTGGCAGGCAATTTCTGTTTCGAACTGACAAGACCACGCCCGCTCGACACCGACAGCGACAAGCGGACAAGCGGCCTGCAGTCTAGGTGCCGCGGCGGCACCGAGAGCGAGTCCTGTTACAATTGGGCAGGAGCTGTGAAGCCCATGTCTATCGTACTAACTTGATGCACGCACGGTGCCCCGCATTCCAGGAGAGGGGCGAAGGAGACCGCGACGACTGCGCAGCGGCGGAGTTGGCCCGAGGAAACTCACACCAGATTGATCTCGCCGTGTCGGACTGCAAGAACCCAAGCCCTGGCACCGCCCACAAACTCAGGATGAGACGCCAGCCCTGGGGCACCGGGTCGGACTTCTGGGAGCCCCGTAGCGTGGTCGAGAGCAGGGCATCGTCTTCCTGGGACAACACGGCGGCGTGCCAGAGAAAAGGGCCCCCCAAGGTAGCGGGCTTGGACCCCCCCCCCCCAGAGAGAAGGGCCCACCAAGGCACTGGCGCTTCGTCTGGGGACGTCTTTGCTCCGCGGGCACCGCTGGCAGGGCCCCGGGAGCGGCGGAGCAAAATCGGATGGGCCTGTTCTCCACCACCACCACCAGAAGTTGGAGGGGGAAGGAGGTGGAGGATAAGGGGCAGGAAGAAGCAGAGGAGGAGGACCCCTCTCCCCCTCCACCTTGTGGTGGCGGTGGAAAGCAAGCCCATCAAAATCGGCACCCTGGGACAAGACGACGACGCGCCAGAGATGAAGGGGCCCTGGGACACGCAAATAAATAGACACGAATAACAGGATTCCTTATATTTTCTCATATTTTCCGGGTTTTTGTCTTCCCCCCACTTCCCATAGTTTCCCATATTTCCTGGGGAATCGACGATTCATTGTGTCTGTGTGTTTTTCCTTCCTTAAGAGAAGAGGGCCCCCAGAGACAAAGGGCCCTGCCGTCGAGGCGCCAGCGCTTCGCCCGGAGCCGTCTCCGATGCGCGGCTGTGCGCGGGGAGGTCCCCAAAGAGGCGGTGGTCGTCGTCGTCCTCCTCCTCTTCCTTCCTCCCGCCTCCCTGCTCCTCCTCCTTCCTCCCTCCCTCCTCCCTCCCTCCTCCCTCCCTCCTTCATTCTGCCTCCTCCTCCCTCCCTACTCCTCCTCCTCCTCCTCCTCCTCCTCCTCCTCCTCCTCCTCCTCCTCCTCCTTCCTCCCTCCCTCCCTCCTACCTCCCGCCTCCTCTCACTTCCCTCCTCCCTCCTCCCTCCCTCTCGGCCTCCAAGGCCAGGTGCCCCTCGTCGGCACGACGGGCGGCGGTCTGCAGCAGAGGTGCTCTTACGAGCGTTGCCCGGTCTCGCGGGGCACGCGGTGCCTCCGAGCGTCTGCTCGCGCGTCATGGCGCGGTGGGGATGCAAGGGCCTCGGAACGCCATGTTGACGTTTCCCGTAGGGAGTACAGCAGAATGCCGGAGGATGCCGAATACCGAAGTGGCAAGGATGCAGGGAAAGTTACCTCATCCTTACTGTCATGGTTGACTGTACCTCTCGTCCCTTCTCCTGGGACCCAGACATCTGGGGCCCAGACCTCGCCGAGAAAGTTTCGAAGCGGCGTCCTCACGTCGGCTGCAGGCCCAGGGGGGCGGAAATGAAAAGGGGCGGGCCTTGTCAGAAGGCTCCGAAGTCCCCTGGCCTTCTGAGGAGCTTTCTAAGCCGTCCCCAAATGCACAGAAGACTTCTCAGAAGCCCAGAGGGCTTCTGAGAAGCCCCGCCGCCTTCGGAGAGGGCATTTTTTCTCACTTCCCCCCTCGCTCGCCGCCGAGTGTGGAAACGCGGGGAAAGGAAGTGCGAGAGCGAGGGCAAAAACTCTAAGTGAGGAGGGCGGAAGACGGAAAACACGCACCTCCAACGCATTGAAAATCAATCAGACTTACCGCTGTTTGTGTACGCCGTTTTCGGCTTCACGGGGCCCTCGCCTCAGGGCGGGCAAGATAATCACGACTCTGAATGAAAAGGCCAACCCTGGAGACGGGCCTGGCATCGAACCCAAACAAGACAACGGATGTCTTGAAACAAGGGAACGGGAATGGAAGCAGACCAGAACCGGACGAAACGCGACTGATCAATAGAGCCCCGAGCTTCGAACCTCCTGCTAGGCACGCCGATTATGTCGATCGGAGGAGGAGGAAGAGGGGGAGGAGGAGGAGGAGGAGGAGGATGAGGAGGAGGAGGAAGAGGAGGAGGAGGAAAAAGAGGGGGAAGAAGAGGGGGAGCAGAGGGGGAGGAGGAGGAGGAAGAGGAGGAGGAGGAGGAGGAGGAGGAGGAGGAGGAGGAGGAGGAGGAGCAGGAGGAGGAGGAGGGGTGGGAGGAGGAGGAGGAGGAGGAGGAGGAGGAGGAGGAGGAGGAGGAGGAGGAGGAGGAGGAGGGGGAAGAGGAAGAGGAAGAGGAAGAGGAGGAGGAGGAGGAGGAGGAGGAGGAGGAGAGGAGGGAGGAGGAGCCGCCCCGCGGAACGGCGCGCCCGCCTCGAGAACGTGGAGGCCCGGGAGCGCCAGGCGCGCCTGCGCCGCCTGGGGCCGCCGCCGCCGCCGCCGCCGCCGCTCCTCGCCCCTCCTCCTCTGCGCCCTCGGCCTCCCCCCTGGAGGGGGGGCAAGCGGGGGCCCGAAATGGTTCATGTCCTTGCTTGTTTTTTGGGCGTCGCTTCATGTTGGGAACGGCACATGGCGGGGGGGGATGGGGAGGGGGAAAGGTGCACTTCTCGGGCCCTGCAGGCCCCTTTCTGGGCCCACAAGGGCTCCTTTCCTGTGGCCCTCGCCAACCCTGGACGGCTTCCCCCGGGGCCACAGGCGACCCGATGAGGGGGGGGCGAGGATTTGTTTCTAACATCAACAACCACAACGCCAGCGAGCTGGCGGACTCCGATGAGCAAGCTCAACGCCACGCAGCACAGCCAGGAGGCTGAGACTGCAGGGGCACCGCCACTGTCGGGGCCATGCCCCCGTGGCGCGCCCCGAGCGCGACCAGGGAACGCAAGGAGACCGTGCTCCGCGCTCCCTGATCGGGGTAGGGGGCGCCGGAGCCGTGCTCCGACGCCACCCTACCCACCACCTACTCCATAGGTGGCCGCGGTTTCGGACCCCGGAGCCCCCAGGACCGAACCAACAAAGGGACCACGACACGACGCGACACGACTGGGGGACGCAACGGACGACACGACACGAACGACACGACACGGACGAACGACACGACAGAGACGAGCCGCCGGTCCCGCCCCAAGGCGGCGAGCGCTGGGGGGGACCCAGCACCGCCCTGGGGGAGGCCACGGGACCTGGCGACCCCCCCGGGGGAAGGAAACCGCACTTTGGCGGCGTCCCCCGGGGTGCGGGGGCTTTTCGCCCCTCGGGCCCGGCGCTCCCCGCCTGCGCCAGGAGGACCCTAGGGTCCCGACCCCTCCCCTACGGGAGGGGGAGGAGGAGGAGGAGGAGGAGGAGGAGGAGGAGGAGGAGGAGGAGGAGGGGAGGAGGAAGGAGGAGGGAGGAGGAGGAGGCGGAGGAGGAGGAGGAGGAGGGGAGGGAGGAGGAGGAGGAGGAGGAGGAGGAGGAGGAGGAGGAGGGGGAGGAGGAGGAGGAGGAGGAGGGAAGAGGGGAGGAAGAAGAGGGGGAGCAGAGGAGGAGGAGGAGGAGGAGGAGGAGGAGGAGAGGAGGAGGAGGAAGAGGAAGAGGAGGAGGAGGAGGAGGAGGAGGACGAGGAGGAGGAGGCGGAGGAGGAGGAGGACAAGGGAGGGGGAGGAGGAGGACGGGTCGCCTAAGCCCTTCGGAGAAACCCTCCAGCTGACACCCCCTTCATCGCCCCCCCCCCCATTACGCGAGGCCCGATGTTCTTCGAAAGCCGGGCACCTCGGCAGCGCCCTCGGCGAGTCGCAGCGGCTGAACCGCATCTCGAGGCGGGGAAGCCTCGGGCAGCCGACGGCGAGGTGAGCAGGAAGGACCGCTAGAGGAATTGAATTGGCCTGTGCACAGACTGTCGGAGGTCCACGCGGATCTCTTGGATCTGCGCTGGGCCTAAGTGGGGGCGTTGACCTAAGGAACTCCCAAATAAGGAACGAGGCCCCTTTCTCCCATAAGTTGAACTTCGATTTCCCATGGGAAACCTCAGGAAAACCGAAGGCAAACTGCAGAACAATCAAGGAACACCGAGCCCCTCCCCAACGAAAAGGGTTCCTTCTTCAGGGCCCCTACTGTAGAGGACTCGGATCGGCATTGTGCACAAACTGTCGGAGGTCCACGCGGACCTCTGGGCTCTGCGCTCGGCCCAGACTACGAGGGGGAGAGAACGGGGGCCATGACCACCACACGCGGGAACGCCGTGCCACTCTCGGTCGCCGTCGATCTTGGTCGGCGTCAGTTCGTTGATCATCCTCGCGGATCGGCGACGGCCGACACGGGCCATGGCCAAAATTGGCATCGGCAGGATCCCGCGACATCTTGTTCGTGGTCGCCGTGCTTCTTTCCTCGACTCCTCTCGGCGGCGCGCCGAGGGATATGACATGCTGAGGGCGGCCCGGGTTACAGTCGGGGCGTCGACCTAAGGAACCCTAAATAAGGAACGAAGCCCCTTTGTTTCATAAGTTGACCTTCGACTTGCCATCAAACACTTCAGGAAAACATTGGGCTAGGTGTGGAACAATTAAGGAACACCGAGCCCCTCCCCAATGAAAAAGGGTTCCTTCTTCAGTGCCCCGACTGTATCCGTCGGGGGAGGGGAAAGGGGGTGCCGGCCGATCGCCTGACCTTTTTTCGCTCTCGGGCCGGGCGAAAAGGGGGGATAGCAAAAGGGGGGTGTGAGAATCAGCTCACGTAGCTGATTGTCCCGGTGTCTCCCGGCGCCGGGAGGCGCCCATGTATCGAGGAAGGGGCCCCTCGGTGGGACCGCACCCAGCTGCATGCAGCAAATTTCGTGCCCCCCCCCTTTCCCAATCCCCCCCTTTCGTCCGGCCCGATATCGGGGGGGGCAAAGAGGGGGGTCAAAGAGGGGGGGGTGCAAATCATGACCGGCGGCATGTGCGCGGCCCAGCGGGGGGACTAGGGACGTAATGAAATAAGAAGAGGCGCCCTGAGATCTGGGGAAATATCATGGCCCGCGCCATGATATCCCCCCCCCCTAGTCATCACCCCCCTCTTTTCCGCCCCCGACGATAGGAGGCCTAGAACCTTGAGATCGCCCCCCCGGGCGGCGGCGATGGACAACTCCCCGCCTCGCACGGTGGCTCCGACGCTGCTGACGCGAGGCTCGCCGACCGCCGCGAGCGGTGGGCGGACCCATATCCGTCTCCACGCCATCTTGCGCTCCGGCTTCCAGGGCGCAGCTCCCGCGGCTACGCGGTCGCTAATGAAGGGGCCCCAGGACACACAAATAAATACACACAAATAAAAAGTTTCCCTATATTTTCCTATATGTTCTGGGTTTCTGTCTTCCCCCCCACTTCCCATATTTTCCTATATTTTCCTGGGAATCGAGGATTAATTGTGTCTGTGTGTTTCTTTTCCTCCTGAGCTAAGGGCTCCCAGCTTCGCGCTGCGCGAAGCGCGAGGTGCGAATCACTTCGCGCTCTCGAGGGCGCCTCCCAGGGGAGAAGAGGAGGAGGAGGAGGAATCGGAGCCGAACCGCGAAGCGCGAATGACTTCGCGCCCTCGAGGGCGCCCTTGGTCGCATGAACACGCTCCGCGCGGGGCCTCGGCGAAAAAACGCCCCGCACAATTGCCTGGAGTAAAAGGGGTCGGAGGATCGCGCCGCATCGCCACTGCATCGGCGATGCATCGGCGATGCGTCGCCGACGTCGGCAACGCCTCGGCGACGTCGGCGTAGAGAAAATCGGACTCCGCATCGAGCCGCGTCGCCGATGCATCGGCGATGCGGCGCGATCCTCCGACCCCATCAAATCTTGGCGGCGCGCACAAGGGGGTGGAGGGAGGGGAGGGCTTCTCAGAAGGAGGCTGCCTCTCAGGAGGCGCCCGCCTTACATCTGTAGATGAGGCCCGCGCCTTCTAAGAAGCGGGAGTGCTTCTAAAAAACCCTCCCCCCTCCCCCCACCCCCCGCTGCGCGTGGCTGATAACTACTCGGACCCAATCTGGGAGGCGCCATCCTCCGACCCCATCTGCTCCGGGCCCCATCCGGGAGGCCTGGACCGTTTGGGGATCTGCTGACCGGGGTCAATCCAGACCGGGGTCAGCAGGAAACCCAAAAACTGAAATGCAGGAAAAAAACACTGCAACGAAAGTCTTCGCAAACCAGGGTCAGCCAATATGCGCGGCCGCCTCGCGGCCACGAGCGGCTCGCTAACCCGGGTCAGCAAGAGGGGGTCTTCGCAAGATCCTGCAGGATCTGGTGCCCTGGCTGACCCCCGTTTGCTTTGACCCCCGTCTCAAGGCTCCCGACCGTTCCCGCGGGTTCGTGACCAGGGGCTCCAGGCTGCCTTGCCGACCCTGGAAATATCCGACGCTGTGCGATTTATTTCAGAACGTGGCTCCCGAATTATTTTTGAGCAAGGACCGACCGCCCCGGTATTTCTATAGTCCTACCACGAAATGTTCTTAGAACCCACAAATGTTCGAATAACAAAAACAATGTTCTTAGAACAGAAACCCGATGTGATAAAACAAGACAGACCCCGCCAGACATGTTCTAAGAAATTTCGTGGAAACCACAGAAGGTTCTTAGCAAATTCTTTGGTAGGGCTATACGCGAGCCAGGACGCTTCGCCACTGCTTGACTTTGTACATCGCTTTACCACCACGTGACCACTTGTCTGTAAGGCCGCGTGCGCCGGATCCACCGGAAGCCCGCCGAAGAAGACGTAACGAAGGCGTCTAGCGTTGAGATGTTTCCCAAGCAGCGCTCGGTTCGGAAGCAGGAGCGGGTGGAGGAAGAGGAAGAGGACAATGACACTACAGAAAACGTGGCTCCCCAAAGGTCTGGACCCAATCCCCAGGACTGGCGTTACATGCTGAATCGTTGTCGTTACAGTCGAATCTAGGCCAGAAGAACGTCCTTCAAGAGCATGATCGCCGCCATCGGCCAAAAAAACAAAGCATCCAAGGGTACCCTCCCCAGGATGCACAAGAACATCCAACAATCGCGAAGAACACTAGGATACCCTCCACGAACCGACCTCGATCTGTTCCCTTGGATTAGGTCGGGCATGTCCTCCAACTGGCGGATTTTGGAAGAAAGAGAAAATAGTCATACAGTACGCAAAATCGCCAACATAGTCAACAACATCGTCCCCCGACTATTGTTTGACCATTTTTGAATATTCCTCCTGTGGAGGGACTTGCCCGACTTACACCTCGGTCCGACTGTGCGGCCGCGGGGCCTGGCGAGAGCTCACGGGGGCCGAACACGGGAAAAGGGAACCTCTCGCCGTGTTGTGGCACGCCGCGAGGATGTAAGGGCATCTTCTCCGTGCGCGGCGCGGGCTCGGAGACGACGACGACGACGACGCCGACGCCGACGCCGACGGTGGCGGCGTGCGCGGCGCGGGCTCGGAGGCGACGACGACGACGACGCTGCCGACGCCGACGCCGACGCCGGCGCCGACGCCGACGACGACGACGGCGGCGGCGGCGGCGGCGACGGCGCCGCAACGACAGGACGAGGCCCCCCCCCGGGCGGGCCTCCAGGAAGCCCGGCCGCAGCACCGCCGCCAGCCCCCCGGCCTCGAAGAAGGCCGCGGCGAGCGGCGGGGCCCGGCAGAGGAGCGCCGCCGCGCACGCGGCCTGGCCGCGGAGGGGGCGGGGGCGCGGGCGCCGGCGCGGGCGGCGGCAGCGCCAGCGCCGGCGAGGAGGAGCGGACAGCACGCGCTCACGTTTGTGTTGTTCCGCCGTCAACACCCACCAATGGATTTCACACCTTTTCCTCCCTCGGTCCCGGGTTCGCTCGGTCGCCGCCTCGGGCCAGGCAGCGGCAGGGGGGGCTGACGGCAAGCACATGCCGCCGCGCTGGGTGGTCCGGACGCTGGGCGCCGATGGCGTGACGAAGCCAATCACATGGCCCCTGTCCAACCAGCCCCTATCAGATGGAGGCAAGTGTAAACAACCGTGGCGGTACCCGCCCCTTCTTCATCAGCCTCGGCTCCGATGCCGTCTTGAATCCGCTTCGCCTCCAGGGGGCCGTAGCAACTCCCGAGGAGATGTGCGCGGATGCAGGCTCGTACGGCTGTGAGCCTCTATAGCGGCACGCCCTCATACCTCGGCATGGGCGTTTGCCCACGACTCTTTCCAGGCGTAAGAAACTCATCCCAACTGCAAATCAGGTGACCATGGAGAAGTACCCGCAATAACTGCGAAGCAGTCTTCCCGCAGGCCACCTGCAAGATGTAGATGCAGTTTCGGGGCGCGGCCCGAGATGCAGATTCCAGCAAACCCGACTTGGCCACACTGAAGGGGCCCTGGGACACACAAATAAATACACACAAATAAAAATATGTCCCATATTGTTTAATATTTTCTAGCTTTTTGCCTTCCCGCCCAATTCCCATATTTTCCCACATTTTCTTGGAATCGAGGATTAATTGTGTCTGTGTGCTTTTTCCCCTCCTGAAACATGTAGATGCAGCTTCGGGACGCGGCCCGAGATGCGGATTCCAGCAAACCCGACCTGGCCACACAGCCTACACACAACGCATCCCCAAGAAGGGGTCGATCGACGGACGCAGACCCCCATCCCGACTCGTGCCTCCGGCGGGTGCCAACCCGCCCCTCGCGGTCGGAGGGAGCGTCGCAGGCATGGGCGCGGATCGTCGGACCCCGACGGGGGGCTCTCGTGCGAGCGGGAACTCCATCCGACAGCACACGCGCACACACCCACAGCCCCCCCACCCCCCCCAGTGCAGAACTCCACCCGGGGGGTTCTGGGGGTCGTATAAGCATGGGGTGCTAGTTGACAGGCTCAAGACCACGACGACAACGACGCCGATGTTCCACGTGGTTGCTCCACTAAGTCTGGTTGGTCCGTCTCGTCAGATTGGTCTGGCCGGTTCAATTGGTTTGGTTTGTTCGGTTCGCTTGGCTGGCCTTGGTCAGGTCTGGTCTGGTTAGTCGAATAGTTCATCTGGTCGCCTGGTCTGGTCTGATTGGTCTGGTCTGGTTGGTTCCTTGTTCTTGGTTCGTTCTGCCGATCGGCTACTGTACGCGACCTGCCTTATGATCGTAACGTGATTTTGTTGGGTACAGCTAGTTTGTCCTGCTTTGCCAGGACTGTCTGCTGCGCAGGACTTACGCGAGGACGATCATCATCATCATCATCATCATCATCATCGTCATCATCATCACCATCATCACCATCATCATCAGCATCATCAACATCATCATCATCATCATCAACAGCAACAACAACAAGAGCATAAGCAACGGCGAGAGCATCACCGGCATCAACGCCCAGAGGAAAACTCCGAGGAGGACCAGGGGGAGGGGGGAGGTGAGAATCTGCACAAACATCTATAATCATCAGTTCTTACGCCCCAGCGCAAAGTAAGGCGCTGGGGGATAAGAACTCTTCGCCTCAAGCGGCTCACAACAAGGAGGATGGGAAGGGGGAGAAAGAGGATGAGGAGAACGAGGGGAGGAGGGGGAGGAGGAGGGGAGGCGCGGGGAGGAGGAGGGGGAGGGGGAGGGGGAGGGGGAGGAGGAGGAGGAGGAGGAGGAGGAGGAGGAGGAGGAGGAGGAGGAGGAGGAGGAGGAGGACAAGGAGGAGGATGCGACTGAGGAGGAGGAAGAGAAGGAGGAGGAGGAGGAGGAGGACCCAGAAGAACGCCCGAACACCTCCCCCTGGGCGGTCCGAGCCCACACGCGGGAGCGGCCAAGAGGGGGGTGTCCAAGAGGGGGGGGTGCAAATCATGGCCGGCGGCATGTGCGCGGCCCAGGGGGGGGCCGGGGACGTATTGAAATAAGAAGAGGCGCCATGAAATCTGAGGAAATATCATGGCCCCCGCCATGATATCCCCCCCCCCCAGGTCATCACCCCCCTCCTTGCCGCCCCCGACACACGACGGCCAGCCCACCTCCCACCCCCCCCCGCCACCGGGGGGGAGGCCTGGAGGCGCTGCGGCACGGCGGAGCGGGCGTCCTCGGCGGAGAGGGGCGCCGTCGGGGGAGAGGGGCGGCCAGAGGCCCGGCGCGGCTGCTGCGAGCACTGGCCCTGGCCCGAGCCGGGAACGGCGCGCACGCATAAGAAGGGCGCACGATCAGGATTGAAGGGGCCCTGGGACACACAAGTACATACACACAAGTAAAAGGATTCCGCATATATTCCAATATTTTCTCAGTTTTTGTCTTCCCCCCCCCACTTCCCATATTCTCCAATATTTTCGGGGAATCGACGATGAATTGTGTCTGTGTGTTTTTTCTCCTCCTGAGTATAAGAAGGGCGCACGATCAGGATGCGGGGGTCACGTCGACACTTCGCGAGCGGGGTGCGGCCAGCGGAAGCGGCCAAGGATGGGGGGAACGGTGAGGATGCAATGGTAACCTTGGGGGGTGACTATGCTCATCCTTACTGTGCGGGTCGACTATGCGCCGAAGTATCTGAACCTTGTCCAACGGGGCTCCATGGGACCGCCACAGGGCAACGAAAAGGGGTATATAGTTTTCTGGCCAGTTCTTCGGGCGACAGGTGTTAAACAAAATCACTCGACATCTTCGACCTCGGTCCGACTGTAAGTTGGCGGCGCGCACGAGGGGGTAGGGGGGATGGGGGAAGGCTTCCCAGAAGGAGGCTGCGTTTCAGAGGGCGCTGGCCATCCATCTACAGACACAACCCGCGTCGTCTAAGAAGCCGGGGTGCTTCTCAGAGAAACCCTCCCCCTACCCCCCTCCGCGCGTCCCAAGATAGGTGTCTGGGCTTGCACGGCTGGCCCAAGGTCGACGCTTGGATCGCGTGCTGCGTCAGTTCCCTCGGAGATGGGGGGCGCCAGAGAGCGACTGCCCTCGCACCCTCCTCTCCAGCCAAGTGTGGCTGGGAGAAAGGGGTTTGCGTCGCTGCCTCCCCCGCTTCCACGACGAAACCTAAGCGGAGGTGGACATCCTTGCGACGTGTAGAACACCCCTAAATTAATGTTGGCCGTTTCCAGCCTCTGGGTCTCCCGCTGGGCCCCAGCACCATCATTGTTTCTTTCTCGAGGCGTCTGGACATGTGCTGCCGGAAATGGCGGTCAAAAAGTTGTGAACAATCTAAGCCAGACATGCAACCAGTGGGAACGGGAAGCCAGGCACTGAGAACTCTGCCTGGCCAGCGCGACGGCGAGGAGAGGCAGGGAGGAAGCAGTGAGCGAAGGGGACTCCCCTTCGCTCACTGCGGGGCTGGTGAGGTCTGACGCGAAGGCGCAAAAAATTATGAAGCTCGTAAGCCGTCAGTCCGCCGCCCCCGCCCCCTCTGGTCTTGCCCAAGTGGTGAGGGGTGCCGGGCGTGCTGCATTCCTCACTCGGGGGCGTGCAAACATGGATTAGCGATCCATGGATTTGGCGCGCGGTCGCCAAATCCATGGATCGGGGAAGGTGCCCTCCCCGAAAATGCGGCCGATGCCGCCTCGCTCGGCGGCTGAAATCCGCGATGTCCCATGGAAAAGGAACCCGTCGCCAAACCACGCCGCCTTCACCCATATTTGCGATCGCCTGATTGGCGTGCTGACTTTCTTACGGAGTTCAGTCTTTGTTCCTTTCCCGGAGAGCTCCCCCTGGGGCTTTCGGTCCCTTGCGCCGGCCACCCGACAGGCCACACACTCCGCCGAACAACACTGCCCAAGCGCATCCAAGACAGCCAAGACTGCCCACGATGGCCTCCGAGATGCCTCCAAGCTGCCTCCAAGACGGTCTCCAAGACGGCCAAGATGGCCCCGATCATGCCTCAAGACGGCCCAAGCTGCAACCCTGACGGCCTAAGTCTTAGGCCGTCAGGGGTACCTCAAGATGGCTCAAGAGCTCAAGAGGCACACAAGAAGCCTCCAAGACGGCCAAAAGGGGGTTGCAAAAAGTTCCGCAGAGAGGCCTGAAGAGGCAACACTCATAGACGTTTTCTGGGTTTTTGAAGAATGTTTGTATTGGCTACTGTTCTTCCTTCCGTCGGCCCGAGACGGCCCAAGAGGCCCCCAAGGTCGCCCCTAGATCGCCCAAGAGGCCTCCAAGATGGCCCTATGACGGCCCATGAGGCCCCCAAGACGGCCCCAAGAGGGCCCCAAGACGGCCTATGAGGCCTCCAAGACGCCCAAACTGGTCTCCAAGACTGCCCGAAAAAGCCTCAAGAAGGTCCCACGTCGGTTCAGACAGGCCCCCTAGACGGATTCAGATGCCGTCAGACGGGCCAGGAACGCCCTAAGGCGGCCTAAGAGGTCCCCAAGAAGCCCCCAAAGGCCCCCAAGAGGGCCAAGGAGGCTCCCAAGAGGCCTTCAAAAGGTTCCCAGGGTGCTCCCAGGAAGGCCCCAAGAGTGCCCCAAGAGGCCTCCTTCTCTTCCTTCTCCTACTACTTTTTCTTCTTCTCTTCATTATCCTCGTCCTCACGTGTCCCCCGGAAGGTTTCAACGACAACTGAGGGAACACATGGTCCGATAGCTCGTGCCCAACTTTCGGCCACACAAGCCCTTCCAAAAAGGGAGGGGGTGGCGGTGATTCTCCGCAGGCATCTTCGATCTTATGCTTGCGGCACTGGCAGGAACAACCGCCTGAGTTCCTCACACCATCCGTTGGTGTAACTGTAACGGAGTTCGCCGCGGCGGGTGAGAACCGCCCCGCCACTGCGCTGATATGAATTCAAATCGTCGGCTGCACTGTGGCCGTACCCAACATGCGACACTATTCGGAAGAGTCCGCTTGCAACGAAGCGGTGCCCGGCGTAACTATCGGCCGGGGCCTCGCCGATGGCTGGATCACCGCACCCGCCGACATGAAGCGTCGATCGCCGCCTCCTGCGAGCACTGCGCGCCAGAGCTGGGCCCCGGATGGAAGAATGGCGGAGCAAAGGTCGGCGACAGACTCCGCGCAGGCGCTGTTTCGCTGTGCGCACACGCTGTTCTGCAGCATTCGTGAGGCATCCGGGAGTTAGGGGAATGCTAGCGTTAATTCGGGCGTGTCCTTCTGCAGGCGGATTCTGGGGAACAAATCACAAATACTCTGAACTTTCTCAAAACAGGCTCAAACATAGTGAAAAAATAGCCCCCCGACGATTATTTAACTATTTCTGAATATTCCTCCTGTAGAGGGACACGCCTGACTTAAGGCTAGCGCCGAAGGAATGTGTAGCCCACCCACGAACTGGTGGTCGGTCTGGTACCCCGGCCCGTCGCTATGGCTTGGGCTTGAAATCGATCTTGAGAATCGCATCCGGAGTAGCCCTGCCGTTGACAATGTCGTTGACAGCGACGAACAGTGGGAACTGCTGAAGCCAACCTCTAGCGGCGAGCACCGACTGAACTTCATTGGACGTGAGTACTCCTTGCAGCTTCTGACCACCCAGAAGCTCAGCCTCAAGCTCTGTAAACGACTTCTTGCCTTGCTCCTTGGTGAATGCCTCTGCAACTCGTCGGTTGCGTCCGCCAAAGCAGGTCGCGATGAGGTCAGCGATGCCACAAGACTCCATGAGAGTCTCGTCCTGCACAGATGGGTACAATGCCTTCGCGAATCTCCGCATCTCTGACATGCCAACGCGTAGGATGACAGCCTTGGTGTTGGCGCCGCAGCCAAGACCGTCGGTAAACCCAGCGGACAACGCGACAATATTCTTGAGCGTGCCACACAGCTCGCAACCCTCAATGTCTGGCACGCAAGCCACGAAAAAATAAGGCCTCTCAAACAACTTCTGGAACAACCGCGCACTCTCCACATGCCTGTATCCGATCGTGGCCTCGCACAGCTTCTCTGCAGCAACCTGTTCGGCAATATTGGGCCCCATCAGCACCGAGCAATCTATGCCCAGCTTGGAGCGCACCATGGCGCTCACTAGCTGGGGGCCCTCAGCGCGGATGCGCATACCTTTTGTCAAAGAGATCGCGATTGCGCTAGGCTTGATGTTCCCCTTCATCTGCACACAAATGCGGTGAACAAACTGGTGTGGGGCACAAATGCAGATGATGTCGGCGTCCCTGACAACTTCCACCAAATCTGGGCACGCAATGATATTCTCGCCTATGCCCACGCCGGGGAGATACTTCACGTTTTCGTGCCTCTCATTCATGACATCTGTGAGCATCCTGCCATCCTCCAGCTTCTCGTCATACACCCACATGAGGATGTCTGTCTCGAACAAGCTTGACTCTCGGCACGTCTGGGCTGCCATTCTCGCGGATGCACACGCCCACGCGCCGCTGCCAACATAGGCCACGCGGTGCTTCTTCAGGTTCTTGTGGAGCTCGTCGAAGTGCTTGACTGCCCAGGAGGCCCCGGCAACTACGTTGGGTCTACTGACGATCCCAGTGTAAGCGATGAACAGGTCAGCTGCTCCCTCTTCCGCGGCCTCTAAGTCTGTGACGCCGTCGCCGATCATGATGATGGTCTCAAACGGGCGATTCGTGCGAATGCCTTGGATGGCCTTGGTCTTGCCGCCTGCGTGTGCTGTCGGCTGGGAGAAATCGAATCCAGCAAAAACGGTTGGCTGCAGGGTGATATCGTCGTTCTGGAAGAACATCCTGTTCGCGAAGACGCGATCAAACGGTATGTTGAGCAGCTTAGCAACTGGCAGCGTCAGTTCACGAAAACCACCACTGATTAGGTACACGATTGCGCCACGATCGTGCAGGGCTTGAATCAGCTCCGCAATCCCAGGGCAGAGACGGCCCTCTGGCGGGTGCGCCTCATGAAAATTCTTGATGAGTGCGGGAGTCGGGTTTATGATGTCCATGCGTTTCTGAAGGGCTTCCTCCAACGAGAGCTCCCCGTTCATTGCCTGATTTGTGATTCTCTCCACCTCCGCAGTGTCGGCACCGACAAACTCGGCGATCATATCCATGGAGTCCTTCCTGCAGACGGTGCAGTCCACGTCGAAGCACACAACGGTGGCAGTCTGCCAGATGCTCAGCGCATGAGCCGAGGCCTCCTAGATGAGGTCGGAAAAGATGGGGTCGGAGAATCGCACCGCATCGCCGACACATCGGCGACGCATCGACGATGCATCGGTGACGCTCCAGCGATACATCGCCGAGGTCAGCGATGCATCGGCGACGACGACGCGAAGCAAATTGGGCCCAACATCGAGCCGCATCGGCGATGCATCGGCGATGCGGGGCGATCCTCCGTCCGACCCCATCTACTCCGACGCCATCTGGGAGGCCCAGAATGAGGAGGAGGGGACTCGGCACCGAGACTGACGTGCGTCGCGGAGCCGTCGGGGTAGGCAGGCATGACTGCACACCGGCGGCAAAAGGTGGCCTGGGGCTGGCGGGACCTCGGCCGCGAACCAGTACCACCCCCCTGCAATAGCCGAGCGCCTTGAGCCAAATGCTCCGGTTCCACCGTCAAAAAGAAATGATAGCCAGGTGAGCGTTTTTTTTTATTCGGCATTTCGGCATTGGGCGGAAGGGGGGAGAGGGGGGGGTCTGGCTCAGGACCACTGCTTAGCGCGACTGTTTGCAGCAGGGTGGCCGATGGGGGAGGGACCCCACCTGCTCGAAAAAGGTGCAAAAAACGGCCACGATCTGCTTACTCCACGGGGGGGGGAGCGAGGGCCGGCGCCGATCGGCAAAACAATGAATAAAAAAACGCCCACCAGCGTGGACCCCAAACAGTGTGTGTTCTAGCAGCTAGCAATCTGTGTTGTGCCACGTGATGCAGCCCATGTGGCACAGGATGGAGAACCATCCATGTGGCGCAGTCTAGGTGGTGTGATATTATCCGCCACCGTGACCTTGCGGCAGGACTTGGAGTATCCTCAGGTCCTTTTTGGACGCCCGAAATGGGCACGGAAAGAATGGGCGCACTGCCCAACAACAAATGTTGTCCCAGACCAACAGCGGCCGCTGCTGGGCAGGCGGCCTTCCGCCTCGAATGGACACAGGCCGCGGCGGCGCGGACGGCGAGTCCTGCTCGAACTGAACAGGAACTGCTGTTGGGCATCGTACCCACTCTTTCCGTACCCATCTCGGGCGTTCAGGTCCTTGGCCATATCCCTGAAGCCTCCAGTCCTACAGCCCCAGGGTGCTCCCCCGGGGCCCGACCCAGAGTTGCCACATCTCTCGGGGCGCGCCGCGCGGCCCGCGCCGCGCGGCCCCCGGGGCTCGGGGCACCTCCTCGCGCGAGGCCCTCGGGCTCCCAAGGGGGGCCCACGAGACGGGCCCGGGAGGCCCCCAGAGGCCGCCCGCACGGTCCAAGAGGGCCCCGAGTCGCCGAACGATCAGCCCCAGAAGCCCGAGATGGCCTCGAGACGGCCCAAGATTCCCGCCAGACGCCTCCAGGAGGCATCCGGAGAGGACCCCAAGGGGCACACATCATTGATTCCCCTTCGGTGCTTGGGGGATGTTGGCGTTCTCGCGCCGTGTTGCTCCCCGTCGCTATAAGACAACCCAAAAACCTCTAAGCTCGCTCGAAGACGGCCCCAAGGCCTCCAAGACGGTCCCACAGCGGCCCCCGAACAGACACTTCGAGCCCTCGGCCCCGAGAGGCCCCACGGCGGCCCCAACAGGCCCCCAGGCGGCCGCCAAGGGGCCCCAAGAGGCCCCCCAAGAGGACCCCAGGAGCCCCCAAGAACCCCCCAAAAGGCTCCCAAGAGACCCCCAAACGGCTTCTCAAGGCCCCAAGACTGCCCGCAAGACGCCCCCGAGAGCGCTCCGAAGAGACTCCGAAAAGCATCCGTGAGGACTCTTGCCAACAACCCAGGCACGCTGGCGGCACGGGCCGAAATCCATTCGACCTGCTCGGCACGGGGACGGAAAGCGCAACTACTTGGAGAAGACGCGAAATCGCTGGCCAGCCCGATGTTCCTCGTCCGTGTCTCATCCTTGGGTAGTCTTGGGGCCCTCTTGGGCTGTCTTGGGAAACTCTCGGGCCGTCTTCCTCTTGAGCCGTCTTGGGAGATGCACGTCTTTTTGAACTCAGAGCCCTCTTGGGCAAACTCGGAGACCTGCTGGACCCTCGGGAGCCGTGGCGCAAGCCTCCTTAAGGCACCTTACACGTATCGGCGGTGGACAAACCTTTCTTTAGTAAACCACCCTTTAGTGAAAACCGCCAAAGACCGAAACCGACGGACCTGGACCCGCAAATGTAACGGCATCGACGCCCTCTCGCGAACCGAAAACTGTAAATTCACTAATCGACGAGTCAGGGTAGGAGGTCTGTCAACCTCCGAACGTATGAAGAACTTCTGCGCTGACACGGAGCTCACGTGAAGCTTACGTGCTCACGAGAAATGTACGCAGAACTTACGCTGAACTTACTCGGGCTGGGGCACCCAAGGCGGCAAAAGACACCCCCAACACAACTTGAACTCGCGCCAAATCACGCGGAGCTTCCGCGCATACGCGGGGCTTTCGCGGAGTTTACGTGATATGTTTTTTTTGGTTTGGGGGGTGGGAGGGGGCTCTTGGCGCCCTTCTGGGCCACGCTGGGGCCCTGGACCAGGAGGGGGGGAGGCGGAGAAGCGAGGCTGAGGAGAGAGGCGGAGAAGGAGGAAGAGGAGAAGACCGAATCTTATGATGATGAGCAAGGAGCGAGGAGGAGCGATGAGCGAGGAACATCGAGACGCGAGGACGAAAGATGAGGAGCGAGGAGGAGCCAGGAAGATCGAGACGCGAAGAGGAGCGAGGAACGAGGAGGAACACGGAGGAGGAGGAGGTGGAGGAGGAGGAGGAGCGACCCGGAGCGAGGATGAGGAGACGGAACGAAGGGGGGGCAAGGAACGAGACGGAGCAGGAGGAGATGGAGGAGAGGCAAGGACGAGGGAGGAGGAGCAGGAGGATGAGCGCCGAAGAGCACGGAGCAACGCCCCCCAAGACTCCGAAGGAGCAGGAGCGAAGAGGAGTGAGGAGGAGATAGTAGGAGGAGGAGGGGGCGGAGGAGGAGGAGGAAGAGGAGGAGGAGGAGCAGGAGGAGGAGGAGGAGGAGGAGGAGGAGGAGGAGGAGGGGACAGACCCACCTGCGACCCGCCCCGCAACCGCTCCGCGCCCGCCTCCTCCTGGAGGCTTGGACCTGGGCGCCAGCACCAGGACAGGTGGTTGCCTCCACCAGGAGAAGATGGTCCTAGATTCTGCGGGCAATATTTCTATCCATACCCAGCGCGTCTTGGACTTTCATGGAAGGGGCGCCGCAAGGCCGAGGCGCACTGGATATGGATAAAAATTGAGCCTTTTGGAGGCAGCTTATAATCCATATCCAGTGCGCCTCATGTTTCTTGGGAAGA